CCAGGCCCGGGCCGGGGGCTGGTCGGGCAGCCCGGCGGCGCTCGGTACGTGAGGCCGAGGCTTTCGTGCGGCCTGGGCGGAGGGAGCAGATGGGAGCTGAGATCAGAGCTTTTTCTCCTCTCCCGCTCCAGCTCTACGACCCTTGCTGCTCCTGACGGAGCTCCCCCGCCTCGCCCTTCCCGGGGGACCCGCGACCCCCGGGAAGCCCTCCCGGCCGGGGGGAGGGGAGGGGGGAAGGCTGTGGAGCAACTGGTGTCCGGGGTATGACTCGGGGAGCCGGTGCCGGCGGTGTCTTGGTCTTCTGGGTGATCAGGGAAGTCCTCTTTCTCTTTCCTCCCGTCTGGAAGCACCTTCCTGGCTTCGGAGGGAACCCCCCTGGCCTGCTTTGCACCTAGCCGGGTGCCCAGGGCACTCGGAGAGTCCCTTTTGGTTCTGAGAGTGGACATGCCTTTGGCGGGTCTCTCTTGGGGTCCCTGCCGACAGAAGATGATCTTGTGGAGAGTGGGATTCTTTCTGTTACCTTTCTGGGCCTAAGTACTCATTACGTCTCAGACCAAGCCAGAGCCCTGCTTTTTGGTAGTGAATTAAAGGTGATTGTTTGCTCTCCCATTCCACCCAGAGCCCTCCGTCGGCTGTCTACGCCCTACCTGGGGTCCTAGCCTGTTAGTTTGTGACCTAGGCCATCAGGGTTAACCCCAGGGTGTCGCTTTCTCAGGTGCTCCTCCACGGAGACTACTGTTTGTGGAGGGATCTCCCCTGCCCCCCTCCGTGTGTGTAGGGAAAGACTCATCGTGTTCTCATATTTTTTTATGAGTGGTTTACGGCCACAGGGGTCATTTTCCCCTGTGGCAGGAGCAGTGGAGCAATGGGAAGATGTAGTAGCATCCAGGTATGAAGTGAGCCCCTGCATTTCCTGGGAGACCAAGAAGTGGCCATTGAAACCACTTTTTAATGTGCTGGGGATGGAAGAAATAAACCATCTTGGGCTTGGCTAGATAACTTAGGTTTCTGTCACTATGGGGGCTTTTGCTTTTCCTTTACATGAGTTTGGCTGATTACTTTTAGCAGTAGGCTTTAGCCTAGCATTTTGGGAATAATTCATGTTGGATTGTACAATTCTGGCAGAAATAGTTATTTTTGTAAGACTCTGATTTCTGTATCATAAGTAATTCTGTCATTCCTGGTCTTCAGACCCCATTAAGATAGACTTGGTGGTATTGTCTTTAAGAAATATTGTATACATTTTTGTTATGACTCTGGGGGTGGAGTAGGCACAAGCTATATAAAAACCTTGCAGAATTTTTGCAGAAACGGGTGCTGCAGCAATTCCCAAGACTGAAATATTAGAGGATAAAACAAGTGACTTGAAATATATAGCCTTGGTGACTTTTGCATCAGTCAGAGTGTAATTTCTTGAATTCCATGTGCTTGTTTGCCTTCCGGAGAGTCTGAAAGGTTGCTGAGATATTAGCACTGATCCTTAACGCCACCTAGGAAAGCTTTGGGATCAGGAGGCGCTTTAACGGGCAGTCACCATGTTGTAGATTAGGTGGGGCAGTGACCTCAGGGGTTCCAGTGTTGTGTAAGGCTCTAATCTAAAGGGTTCCTAGGAGTACAGGAGGAAGAGAGGCCAAGCCCACGGTTGTGTTACGTGTCATGGAATGCACATTTCACGTGGCTTATTTGGGTGGACTCTTGTGATAGGTCGTGTAGAGTCCTACTAATATAAGTGTGGTGGATGAAATTGGGAAATTGTCTCTGAATATGAGTGGGGAGAAAGTGCCACCTTTAAATGCTGCTGTTGTCAGTGACATCCCTGAGTATTGTTATAAGCCGTTTGACAGGCGTGTGGCTTGGAGCAAACCCCATATAGAAACTCAGAGCCGTGGAGGGATAGGTTGCTGGCAGAGATGGTGTGACCTTATTTCTGCAGTTTCTCTTGATTGACCTGGGCTCAGGTGAGAGCTAGGTGGCTCCAACCAGGCGGTGCCAGCACACAGCTGTTCTTCTCTTCTGCCTTGCCCAAGTAGGAACTCCACTTCTGTATAGTTAGTTGACACATATTTAAGGTGCTCCTGGAAAATAAAAATGGGGACAGTGTTGAAGAGCCAACACTAAAATTAAACCTCTTCTGAGAGAAGCGACAGAGAATTGTGTCATGTAATGCTTACCTTTATGGGCATGCAAGTATGCTAACAAACTTAGCTTTTGCTTGAAAACCCAATGTCAGGCAGCTGACCTAATATCCACAGGTATCTGAAAACTTAGGGAAATAACAAAGTAACACTTTCTGACCATCTCCCTGACAAAGGAGTTCTTAAGAGGAAAGTTGTTTCTTTGCTCTATATTCTAGCTTCTGGAGTATTTGAATATCTATAGCATCAGGCTCTGAGTTAATAATTTCTCTCAACTCAGTAATAAAGTAAATTCTGTACATTCCTTTTCAAAAAGCAACTAACGGTTTTTCAGAACAGTCGAAGCCTTACTCTTCTTGTGTATGGCAGCCCAGAGTGTTGAAAATCTTTCTTAAGTGCAGTCTGTGCCTTTGTTCCATCTTAATCTTGTTTTGTTACGGACAAAGTTGAGGACTGTCTTACTCCTGCCCAGAAATCAGAGTCAGTCCACCCAAGCATAATCTCATCAGCAAATGATTAGGTTCCCGTTTGTATCGGACACTCATTGTTTCTCCAGAGTTCGGGCTTTGTCTTCTCTGTCTAGAGCAGAAGCCTTAGGTGTACTTTCTAAGTGCTGGTTAAACTGACTGAACCCTAGACTCCTTCTTGGGCTGTCCAGCAGGAAACCTCAGGAACTACTTTTCTTCTTCACTGTTCTGCAGACTTCAGGTGCCAAGGGGAGGTGAACAAGGGGCCTCTGCAGAGAGAGACACGGGAAGGATAATTTTCCCACCTAGGAATTTGAAGGTTAAGATACCACTTAGCTTCACTGGACTGCAGGTTCCTCATCTGCAAAGTGGGATTGGGAACGGGTGTATTTGCCCCAAAAGCTCCTTCGAGATCCAGGTTCAGATTCTGGAAGGCGCAGCAGAGGCTAACATGAGTTGTTGTTCTAGAAGTTTTTTCTTTTAATGCAAGGTACATTGTGTGAATTTTCTGAATAACAAACACTAACACACTTCTACACAGAGATGTATGCTTTACCTGACTTTGTGCAGCAGAGTCTCCTGCTTTCTCCCAACAGCCTATAAAGGGAGGTGGGGTGAGTAGCCAGTCTCCCCTTTCTGCAGGTGCAGAAGCAGACATCATGACAGTACTGTTTAGTGAGTGTCTCCCATGGCCAGGAGAGGACAAGATGCCTTTGTTTCCTACTGACTTAATGTGAGGAGACTGCCCTAAAGTTAGGGAGGGACTTAGCCAAAGTCATTAAGCGATAGTGCTTCCAACTTTAAACGCCACCATACTGCTCTCAAACATGGAGAGGCAGCTTCAGAAGAGGCCAAGAAGGCAGTGTCCTTGAGCTGGTAAGAAAAGATGTGGGAGTCTCTTCTCTCCCACACAAGTTTATATGAGATTACAACTTGGGTTCGATTTACCTGTGATAGATCTTACAGGTTGATGACATTAGACAGCCTGTCCCGGAAACATCTTAAGGTTTCTGTCAGGGACACAGAATCCTGGGCCAGACCACACTGTGGTGTGGCAACTGCCAGCTGATGTGGAACTTTTCATGAGTCTTGTGTTCCAGCTTCCTTTTCTGCTTCAAGATTACAGCACTTTTGATGTTAATTTAAAATGCCATTGATCCTGCAGAAAAGAGGAATCTTATAAGTTCTAAAATGGAAGACTATTAGTTCTGATTCTCATTAGTATATTAGAAGATATGAAATCTAAGCATGTGGACTCTTCCTGATCACACTGGTTGCCCACATTCAGTAACCTCCTGTCTTTGCTCCTTTACGTCATGGCCAGGACGTGTGAGGACAGCAGTGTGGCATTTTATGACTTTGGGAAGTAGGCAGGTAACAGTGTTGGTTGTGAAGCAGGTGTAAGACCTTGTTGTGATTCACTCTCTCCCTCAGAAGAAGGTGGACTTTACATTCGGTCTTCATGGAGGTCCTCAGAGGCGGCTCTTGTCAGGGTATGTTGTCCTGGCTGGAGGTCACAGAGGCCTAGGAGGACAGTCCAAGATCAGCTTATGGGGAAGGGGTTTTTGTCCTGATACAGATATAAACAGGCACCATGGTCACCCGGGCTCATGATGCAGCTTCGTGTGGCAGGACATGCCCTCAGGGGTGCCAAGCGTGGAGTTCGGTGAAGGAGGAGAGCTGTATTTACTTTGCCTCAGTTTTGGTGTCCATGTGAGTGTCTTCTCAGACGGAGTTCTGGTTCATCCAGCACTGATTTAACCCAGCCCAACCTCTAGGTGACTGCCTCAGGGGGTCTCCTGCCCCCCCCCCACCACTGTAAACCGCCTTCTGGAAGCTGGGGGCTCTGTCTCTCAGTAGAAGTTGTGCTTTTCCTTTTTATTCCTGGTGGTGGCTCTGGCCTGAGTCCGCCTGGTCCCTGTGGGGCCCACTAGCTGGTTGTCAGATTGGGTGACTGAGTTTGTGGCTCAGTGGCCGGCTGCGTAGGCAGCACATTTTCAGTCCAGCCTTGTGAGTGCCCATGCTCAGAGCCCCTTCTCAAACTGCTCCTTTTCACTCTCCAGGCACATGAGTAGCGCTGAACAAGTATTGACACAGGGGTTCCATGAACTGGAGAGCATTTCCTGAATAAGGAGGGCCTACCAATATTCCGCATGCTGTGTTTAAAAGTACTCTCTGAATGAATTCCAGGTCTTGGGAGGCAGTATGCTTACGTTTCTTTCTTTCTTTTTTTTTTTTTTTTTGTGGTACGCGGGCCTCTCACTGTTGTGGCCTTTCCCGTTGCGGAACACAGGCTCTGGACGCGCAGGCTCAGCGGCCATGGCTCACGGGCCTAGCTGCTCCGCGGCATGTGGGATCTTCCCGGACCGGGGCACGAACCCGTGTCCCCTGCATCATCAGGCGGGCTCTCAACCACTGCGCCTACAGGGAAGCCCTACACTTATATTTCAATCACCAACTGATGCACACTGTTTATGGAGAAATATGGTAAAACTGGAAAAGGTGGCTCAGCAGTTGAATAAACATTTCTAGCAAGCATTTATGGTGCTGGATATGGAGAGTGCAGACCTGGGGGTGCCCAGCTGCAACCCTCCAGGGACCTGGAGCAGGCATAGAGCGTGCACACGGATAGTCTGGGGTGCGGCAGCCTTACAGGGCTACAGCTCTTAGATCCAAGTGGAACAGTTCATGTGTCTTATTCGAAGATAGTTCAGAATTCTTAAGAGCATGAAATGGCTTTCTAGAATCATCATTTTTTTCCATCATTTGAGTTTTCAGAAGCAAAAGGAAGTCAGTTCTTGGTTTGTCTCTGACCTGAGGGGAATGGAGAGTTTGGAGGAGTTGGTAGCAAATCCTTGAACAGTTTGCCCTCTCAGCAATGGGATGGGAAGGGGGCAGGTGTCAGGCTCTGTGAAGGGCCTGGGGCTCGTTTCCAGTACTGGAGTTAGGTAGGCTCTGTGTGGCTTCCGGAGGCAAACCTAGGACTCAGAAGGCAGGAGTTCCTGGGAGGTAGGTGCTGTTGCACTCAGGGGAGCTCTTGATTATCGTCAGAGCTGGCTCAAGAGTCCAGGGCCACCATGCCAGGTGGGCGTGCAGACAGGACTGGGCCCTCTATCTGGGCCCTCAGATTCTTGACCTGTGAGTTCCTGGAGGTTCTGTGATTGTATATGGAGGCTGCTAAAAAGAAGAGTCGTGTCAGGTGATGTGCCACTTCCAGGCAGGTGGGGTTAAAAGCCTTCCAGTGCTCCTGGGACTGCAACAGAGTTTCCTGGATTCATCCATTGGAGGCTGTAAAATGAAGAGCTGCTGTTTACTGAGCACTTACTATATGCCAGGTATTGTGTAGAGTGCTTTGCATCCTTGGTGGTTCTCTGAACCACTCTTGCAAGTGGATGCTCCATCTTCATTTTAGGGGAGAGCAGAGGTTAAGTGATCTGTCCAGTGTCACAGAGGTGGATATGGGAAAGCTCTGGGCCCAAACCCAGTGCTGGTTGGCTCAGAAGCCGATGGGCTTAACAACAGTGTCCCACCTCCTACATAAGCAGTGCCCAGCATGAAAGTTGAACTCCATTTCGTCTTCTGAGGTTAACCTTAAATGTGAAGTGTTTTTAAACGTTAAGTTTTGCATTTCTATTTCCTTCCCATATCCTACCACCTTTCCCCCCTTAAAATCTTCTAGCCTAGTGGGTCCTAACCTTTTTGGGTGTTAGGGTCCATTTTTATGATCAGAAACATTCAGGAACTTCCACATAATGGCAGGTGTACTTTGAGTAGCTGTTTTTTTGTTTTTGTTTTTGGAGAAAACTCAAGGACAGAAGCTACTCCTAATCCAGTAATGTTTTGAAATGAAGTTATAGCTTGTTGTCAGAACAGCATCTACTTAAACCTGGAAGCCGACTTTACTTGTATGTGTGTGACACCTAGGATCGAACCCTTTGTTCTGCCTCTGGTTGGGGCCCCCTGTTGTCCCTACTGCTCTCCCTTTTCCAGAAACCTTTCCTGCTTTAATCAAAGACAGTCTCCTTCTGGCACTGTACATAACTTAAAAATCCTACATTCCTGCTGAGTATAGGTCTTGTTGAACACGTTTTCTATGGGATTGCAAGCTCCTTGCTGGCAGAGCATGAGTTACTCCCCAGGTATCCAGAACTTCTTCAGCAAGTGGGTGCTCAGATGCTTGTTGATCTTCCGTGAAAAGGGCTGGTCTTCAGAATTGGCTGTCAGCGCTTACTGAGCAGGTATGAGGTGCCAGCACTTTTCACCTTTAATCTGTACAGCAACCCTGGGAGGCAGGTACCAGTGCAGAAACTGAGGCGCAGTGGACACACAGCTAGAAGGGATGACACTAGGGTTGGAACCTACCCACCCAGTCCTTAGCCACCTGCTGCTGCCTCCCATGTCACTCGAGAGAGGGCAGTGGATACAAGGCAGACATTCCACTCTCCTGCCTGGATTTGGATCCTTATGCTGGATTCATCTGTACAACGTTTTTATGCTTGTCCCAGAGGAAAGTTGTACCTGAAATACTTTCTGCTTTCTCTTGAACTGGCTGAGGATAAGGTGTGAAGTGTTTTTTCCTTTTTGTTTCTTGGCTGGCATTTTTCACCCCTGACAGTGAAGGTGGCTCTTGATCTTAGATTCCCTGGCTGTCTGTGATCCCTGGAGACACTGTTCAAATGCTACCTTGGGATCCTGTGTCCTTTTTTGGTCATGTGACAAATCAAACCCTTCCTGGACACCCCCCTCTCCCGAGTTTCATTCGTCAAGGGCCAAAAAATGGGTGATGCTTTCTCCAGGCCACACCCTGTGGTGGGTCAGCCTCATGGCTGCTGTGGAGACTCTAGTCACTTGTCCACTGTGTGCACAAAGTGATTTTGTAGGTGGCTGGCCTTGGCTCTGTGATGGGGGGTTCTGTGGTGCAAACGTCAGCAGTCAGGTGAGTTACTGATGGAGAACTCAGCTGCACATGACTGTGGCTCACACCGAGAGGCCATTGGTGGCCTGGCAGCCCTCCTCCAGGTGCCGGTGGCCCCGCTGTCCTGCTTGTACCTTCAGCTCCTTCCCTTACCCACAGTCCGGTCAGATTTGGCTCCGCATGGTGCCTGGCCCCCCAAGCTGGCTGCAGCTCTGCTTGCACACACCTGGGGGCTGGTTCTCCTTGTCCCCTTGATGCCTTACTTGGATATTCCCGCCTCCCCTATTCCACCTTAGCTCTCTTGACCCCTCTTTCCATCAGGTCCCTGGCCTAGCTTGGGTTGGATCATGGGGTGGTGGCCACGTCCGCTTTCCCCTGGGTGATCCCCAAGATAGCTACCTGTGTCCTCCTTCTTGAAGCCAGTTCTCCTGAAAGCCACTTCCAGTAAACACTTCCCATCTTTTTTTTACCCCTTGGTGCACCTTGCATCTGTGCCAGGCAAATAGTTGGCAAGCTAGCTTTTTAGAGCTGCGAGGGTGGGGGGTGAGTGACACTGACGTGTAGGTATATAAACTAGGAAGAGTTTACCCTTTCTGCTCATTGTTTCACATTGTTTCCTTCAAGTGTTCAGTTAGATAGTTGCAGGCAGAGCACCTTACTAATTCTTTTAACCCCTTTTCTCTAGAGGGAGGGTGGCACTGCACTCATGACAGGAGCTTAAACGCAGAGGGGCTCATTGGCTTGTGTTACTTAAAGGCCCAGAAATGGGCCTCTTCTCAGGTGACGACCTGGCTTTACTCCCTCTCTCTCTTTTGCTTTTTGTTGTGTTGCCTTTGCATAGTGGGTGTCTTCTCCCCAGCCCCTGCAGCTTTGGGATCCACCCTCACTGACCATTATCCAGGGGCAGAAAGAGAAGTCACCTCTTACCCAGAAGCCCCAGCAGACATTTCCCGGTGCCTTCTCTGGACTTTGATTGAAATAGCAGGCTGTGTTCGTTGGTTCACCCCTGAATCTTGGCATGGTGTTAGTTCCACCCAGACTGACCCAGAGTAGAGGGGGTGCCCCCAAGAAACATTAGGTCCTGTTAATGGGAGAATGGGATGGGGAGTGGGCTGGTGGTGATCCCTGGGTGAGTGCTGGTTTAGTCACCTCTTTGATATGATAGCACCTTCAAATAGTTGGGCACCTTCAAATAGGTGGGTGTCATGCTAGGCCTGGGAGACTTGGGTCCAGATGACAGAATGGATGTAACTGAAATATGAGGTCTGGCGTAAGCAATGGGATTGTTTGGATGGCGTCAGATCACAGCCAGGGTTCTAAGTACCCACTCCTGGTTGAACTGCAGACTCTGATTTGCCTGTAGTCTCACTTGGGTACCTTGTCTTAGTGCAGGTGCTAGGTTGCAGCTTCTGACCCTATCCTGGGCTAAGGAGCCCTTTAGGAATCCAGGAGAGCCTCACCATAGCACTGCTGATTCTCCTGTCCCCATCACCTTTCCTGATGCTGCAGTAACTGCCTGGATGAGCCTGGGTAGAAGGAGACCGTGCCTGTGACCCAGGCAGGAGCCGAGTTCTCCAGACTTCTGTTCTCTCGGGCTCAGAGGTATGGCTGATGACTCGGAGGTCTGGTCCGAGCTGATTGTCTTGCCCGTTTCTTCTTGTCTGTACCCCCCATCCCGTCTTCATCCTCCTTCTCCTCGTCCCCCCTGCCCCCCCCCCCCCCCCCCCCCCCGCCCCACCCCCACCCCCCGCTTACCAGAAACTGGTACCTGCATTTCTTTCCCTTAGGTTAACTGAAATGCATTGGGTCAGGTGATCTTTCGTGTCCCTCCGTTTTTCCCTTCCAATCTGAGGGGCTCTAGGCAAGCACCCGAAATTGGTGATGTCTGCTCCCCCTTTGCTGGATGCTGGCAGCCTGGCAGTGGCAGATGTGGGCCACATGTTACATTTTAGGCGTGTCTGGGGGCCAGGAGGTTTGTGAATGGTTATTTCACTTTCACTTCTATTTTAAAGGAGATTCTTATTCTTAAGCATTTAAAGTTCTCCCTTTGAAGGTTGGTCAACAGGCCAAAGCTTCCACTGAGTGCAGGAGCCTCACTTCTCACCAAAGGGCAAAAGTATCACCCTCCCAGGTGTTGTGAGCTCATCCTGCATTCGCTTGTAACCTTTCTCCTCTCACCACTGAGTCAAAGTACTGTTTGGGATTGAAATTGGAGTGGGAGAACTGAGAGGGAAACTGTTCTTTTTTTTTTGTCCTCAGCATTGTGTGTGTCTGTGTGTCTTGTGGACAGACTTCTTCCACATGGCGGGAAATGTAGCAGCTCTGGGATTTGAACTCTTGAAAGCTAGGACATAATCAAAAATGGATTCACTGACTTGCTTCCAGTTTGAAAACTCCTGGAGAATCACTCCAGCTTGGATTGGGGGTGGGGTGAAGGGGGCTTTGTAAGAAAATGGCAGTGCCCTCAAGAAGTCAGGGAGGAGCTTGCAGAAGAAGCAGGGTCTGTTGTGCAGACAGAAGCAGTAGGTGTCCCTAGACTGCTGTAGCCCTCCCATGTGGCAGGACAAAAACAGTGAGGTCTGGGGCGGGTAGGTGGGGACTGTCAGGGTTTCTGGTGAACCTGCTTATCAGCCCCACTCAGAGTTAGGGGAGCAGGAATCTGCGTGTTGCCCTGGGGATGATGCTCCTGTGTCAGTACAGTGGGCATGGTTTTCTGTACTGTTGGTGGTGGGCTCCCTCTAGTTGGGGAATAGGAAGCGGCATCATCTGCTTTGTAAGATGAGCCAACAGCCTTGTGCATGAGGACGCCCTTATGCTTGTCATTCCAGGCTGTCTCCCTGGGTCATCATGCTGTGCTCAGTGGCCTGCCGCAGGGTCAGTGCTGAATGCGTCTCCTTGGGAACGAAGCAAGCCTGAGGCCTAACACTGAGCGGTTCCCATTGTCCCCTGGCTCCCTGTACCTTACTGCATTGGCCTTTCCGCTCTCTTCAGACCTCATGCCCACGGTGCCTCCTTCCCCTTGAGTATTTTGGCTTTGCTTTGGGGACCCCTGTCTGGCCTTTAAGACTTTCCCCAGGTATTCTCACCATGGCTTCCAGCAGTGCATGGGCCCTTGCAGTCCAGCTGCCTGCTGCCCTCGGCATGCTGTGCTTTTGGTTGGTGGTGCCACAGTCCACTGCTCAGCTGGCCACCTCCCTTGGTTGCCCCATTCCTACAAGCAGGATCACTAGGGAGATGTAGCTGCTTCCCAGCCAGCCTCCTGTGTCCTGGTCTTTGCCTCTGTGCCGGCCCCAGAGTGAGTGTCCAAAAACAGACTGGGATGTTTCACCCCCTCTGTTGGGGCCATGTGACTGACTGGGTAACATGTGAGCTCTGTAGGTGACATAGTGAAGAAGACAGTCTTTCTCTGGGTGGAAAACTTGGGCTTTAGAGTTGAGCAGAGCTGAGTTGGAATCTTGACTGCTGTTCACCATGTAGCTTTGGAAGAGGTTAGGTTTGTAGCCTTAATTTTCTCAGGAGGATGTACATACACTGCTTAGCAAAGCTGTTGAGAGTAGGATGTGGTCCCTGGCCTGAAGCATCTTGGATGTTGATGTGTGCATGGTAGCAAACAAACTTGGTGGTGGGCAGCTCACCCAGCTCCCATCCCCTACTTCCTCCTCCCTCCCTCTGGTCCATGCCCATGGGATGCTTAGTGATTGGGGTCTAGCCAATCATGGGGCTGCGTATTCCTGGCCAGTGATTGGTTCAGGGATGGACCTGTGGCCATCTGAAAGTTTTAGTGCTCTGCTGGGATAGTTGGAGGAGACTTGAATGGGGAAGGATGTGAGCAGGTTGCTGCTAGGGTCTGCTGCCTAGGGACAGCCTGCTCAGGAGTGAGACTGGCCCAGAGGGATGGGGAGGAATAAGTTGCCTGGGCCCAGCTGGCCCTAGGTGAGTCAATGGCTTCTTTTCTTGATGAAGCCCATTTGAACTGGCTTTTCTGTCACTTGCAACCAGGAGAGTCAGCTGAGCACATTATGCCCTATAACCTCTGGCTCAGGCATCCTCTCTCCTCCCCTGCTGCAGCCACACTCAGCTGCTCATCAGCTCCTGACCCGCTGTTACACCCCCACCTGGGTGGCCTGCCCTCCCTCTATTCTCCCTCCTTCCTTCCCTTCCTACCTGCCTCTCTGGGCTCCAGGTCCAGCATGCCTTTCCCAACAAGCCCAGTGCCAGCTGTCCCAGGAGCACTGTCTTCTGACTGTTGTGGCATCCTGGTCTGATCTTGCCCACCTTTAACTTGTCTGACATGCCTGTGTCCACCCCACCCCATTCTTTTGCTGATGCATAGTTCATTCTGTTAGGGCCAATGACCAGTTTATTGTGGATCCATCTCTGATTTCAAGCTGTGGGTAAGCGCAAGCAGTGCCTAACCTGGGAGGACCAAGCTGGGTTTGGGGTAAGAAAGAGTTTAAGTTTGGTGGGGACTGGGCAGGGCAGCTGCTTGGCTTACTAGTATTGGGGTTGGGATGGCTGGTTCCCTGGAGGATGCCCCCCTCCTGTGATGACTGCTTGGCCCTCTCCAGACCTCAGCTCTTTGGAGTCCTCCTGTGGTGCGTCAGTTCCCTTGGAGCCATAGTGGCATGGTCAGCACTCAGGCATTGAGCCTGTCCTGTGTGTGTCACTCAGTTTTAGGGAGTCGAGATTCTAGGGGCTGGAGACAGGACTCAGGAAGCGGGGGAGGTGGGCAGCTACAGGTTTTGCAGCACTTGCCTAGCCCCCCTCTCTGGTGTGATGAATCCCTCAGGCCCAGCGCCCCCTGGAGTGCACATGCCTCCTCCCTCCTTCGGGCCAGACCTGGACTCCCCCTAAAAGAGTCCCCCAGGCCTGGACTCCCCTAAAAGAAGGTTCTGAACCCTGAACCCCAGCTGTTCTGTGAGAGCAGCAGCTCCAGGTCCTACTTGGTTGCTTCCATCTGAGTGGCCTCGGGGTGAATCACTTAGTGTCTCCGGGCCTCAGTGTCTTTATCTGTGATATGTGGCTCTTGGTGCCATCACCTAGTGGTGTCATCCTAAGGGGCTGAGCATGTTAGGTGCCTGGTGCAGTGTCTGGTTTGGTTTAGTCACCTAGGTGAGGGAGCTGATACTGTTTCTCTGTTAAGGATGAGGAAAAGAGTGAGGGGGGTTGTCCTTACCTGAGGCCTTGCAGCTGGAAGGAGCAGAGAGTGGATTTTAATCCTATTAGTGGGTAATAGACCTGCAGGTGGAGTTCAGCATGGAGGGACTGGATCTCATTCAATCTAATGAGCAACCCTACTTAACAAATCAAGTGTTCAGTGTCTTTTGGCATCATCTTTATAAGGGTTATCTCTTTGTAAGGACTTTATCTTTGGACCATAACAGAAGCAGGAGGACAGGAGCAACTCATCATATGCTCATTCTGTGCCAGGTATTATACCATTTAATAGATGAGTCTAAGGTTTAGCCAGGGTAAGTATCTGGCCACCGCACAGCTGACCTCAGAGCCTTTACTTTTCTTAGGAGGCAACACTCTGCCCAATGCAGGGAGGAGAGGGGACTGCGAAAATCCCTGCTGAGCTCTTTCCTTCCTGGCTGAGCACTGCTGCTGGTGGAGATGGTCTCTGTCTGCACTGTTCTGTATGGTAGCCACAGCCACATGTGGCTAGTGAGCACCTAATGCGTGGGTGGTACACCAAGGAATTCACTTTAAAATTTCTATTTAATTTTAATGCCTACCTGAATTGGACAGCGTGCTTCCAGGGCCTCATCGCTTGTGCTTTGGGTAAGAGCTGGGGCCTGTGCTGTTTTTCCACATGGGGAGTTGGGTAGCATGGGGGTACACAGTACGGCCCCTGTCCCCTCCCAGCGACCCTCAAGTCTTGACCCCTCCCCTGTCACACAGCCTGGTTTCTCTGATATCTCTGGGCCCCCTGAGCCATGTCAGCTCCATTCACGAGGTCTTGTCTCATGGAGAAGAAAGGCTTCTCATTTCTTTTTTTTTTAATTTTTTTTTTATTTTTATTTTTTTGCGGTACGTGGGCCTCTCACTGCTGCGGCCTCTCCCGCTGTGGAGCACAGGCTCCGGACGCGCAAGCTCAGCGGCCATGGCCCACGGGCGCAGCTGCCCCGCGGCACGCGGGATCCTCCCGGACCGGGGCACGAACCCGTGTCCCCTGCATTGGCAGGCGGACTCTCAACCACTGCGCCACCAGGGAAGCCCTTCTTCTCATTTCTTAAGTACGGTTGGTGAATGCGAAATCCTCTGGGCCTCCCCCCCAAATGAAAAAGACAAACGGATGGCCAGAAAGAAAGGGAGGGAGGGAGAGAGGGAGGGAGGGAGGGAGGG